TGCACGAGATCATCTCCAGCAGTTGGGATAGGACCGCGAGGGGAAGAGAATGCTGTGATTGCACTTGACTCACCAGGGTTTGAAGGCTTCTGCGCCTTTCATGAGATAGCGATACCACCCACCGTTGGGAGTCAATGACGGTCCCAAGATGGAGGAGGGACGTGGTTGGGTCAAATGGCTCTTTGGATAGTTCAGAATGAAGCCATGGAGTTGCAATGCTTGGCTAGTGGTCTGCAAATCCTTGCCATATCTGGGGAAGATGATAGGATCAAGATATCGTCTAGGTAGCAGTTGACCTTTATCGTGATTGACTGGAGAGATGCCGCTATCACCAACAACAACTTTGTGAAGGTCCACAGGGCCAATGAAAGGCCAAATGGGAGGGCGCAGTATTGGAAATGGTGCCCCGCAAACTGGAATTGCAAGAACCTTCGATGAGACGGGTATATTGGCATGTGGAGGTATGCCTCCTTGATGTTTACAAAGGTCAGTAGGTTGCCTTGTCTGATGCAGGCCAGAATCCTGTTGAGCGACTGCATTTTGAACCTCTGGTATTTCAGGTAGAGATTGAGCCGTTTCAAATCTAGGATGGCCCGTCATCCGCCCGAGCTTTTGGGGACCAAGAAAAGGACGGAATAGAAACCTAGTTTCTCCTGTCCCTGAGGTACCCTTTCCATAGCATTTATGGAATTCAGATGTTCGATTTCAGAATCCATCAGGAGCCTCTTTACCTGACACCTTGGTACGGGACACCTGATGAAATGTCGCGAGGGAATAGTGAGAAATTCCAGCGTGAGGCCCAGTCTCACTGTCTGAAGGGCTCACGTGTCCAAGGTGATTTCTGCCCATTGAGGGGCAAACGAAGTGAGCCGCCCGCCAATAAGTCCCACCTCGTGTGAGTCACCGGTATCTGCGAAAGGACCAGTTACCGCTCTCATGAAATGGCCATTGGGCCTGCTGTTGCTGACCCTGTTGGCAGCCCCTGTCCCTAGGCCTGAGCGGTCCTGACCTCTGTCCTCAGTCTGAGGGAACGGTCTGGAATAGGGAGGGACATAGGGGGCAGTGGTGTACCCGGAGTCTCCAGCCCGAAAGGGCTGCCTTCTGTGATATGGTTGCTGCCTTCTGTCTCCACGCCTAGTAGTTGATGGAAGCACCTTGCGTTTGTCCCTATTTTTGATCAAAATAGGATCCAACGTCGCTCCAAATAGAGGGCCCCTTTTGAAAGGGGTAGAAGCCAGGCACCACTTGGAACATAAATCAGCTTGTCAATGGTGAAACCAGAGGAGCCTGCAGGACGCCACGTTGGAAGCTACCGCACAAGACGTGAACTTGGCCGCCTTGAGTGTAGCATCTGAAGAGAACTCTAGCACTGCCACCAGCTTATTTACATCCTGGTGTAGGCGTAGGTCATCGGGAGGAAGCCTAGACTGCACCTGTTGCAACCAAACCAGTGAAGTTCTATTAAGGAAAGATGCTGCTGTGGCCACCCGTAACGCCCAATAGCAATAGCAATAGCAGTAGACTTATATACCGCTTCATAGGCCTTTCAG